TGAATTCTCTCACCCTCCCGCGCCTCTGACTGTACCCAGTGCTTGTATAAATAAATAAACAAAGTAATTAAAAAAAAAAAAAGAACTGAATCATCCAAATTAACAACTTGAAACAGAAGGGGATGGAGGAAACCAACACTTACTAAATGATGTATAGATAGCATGCTGGGAACTATTGAGCCTCATAACAAGTATAAGTCACTAAGGAATTTTTGTCAAAAAATTTTTGTCAAAGAAAAATTGTCAAAAATTATTTAAAGTATTCTTTACCCTTGTGGTTATACAAGTGTCATTATTCTCATTTTCAGATCAAGAAACTAAAGTTCAGAGAGTAAAAACACATTTAAAGTTATAGTGGTCAGTTGAACTGTGTCCTATAAAGTCCTGATCTGTGGAAGTAAACTTCCTTGGAATTAGGATCGCTGCAGCTATAATTAAGGATCACAAATGAGATGATCCTGCATTTGGTGTGGGCCCTAAAGCCAGTGACTGGTTTCCTTATGAGAGAAAGGAGTGGGAGACACACAGACAAGGACATAGAAGATAGAGGCAGAGATGAGCTTTCTGCATAAGCTCAGGAACTCCAAGGAATGCAAACAGCCGCGGGAAGCTAGGAGAGATAAGGAAAGGACCCTCTCTCAGAGCCTCCAGAAGGAACCCATCCTGCCAACACCTTCATCTAGGACTTTGATCTCCAGAGATGCAGGAGAATAAAGATTTGTCATTTTAAGTCCGCAAGCTTGTGGCCATTTGTTAGCACAGACCTGGGAACTCCACCTTCTAGTGAGACATGGCGTAGCATTGACCCCTGGGCTTTGTATGACCAGGTCTGTTCCACCAGCCTGTGCAACTTCATGACTATAACTGTCATGGGTGTTATGCATTATTCTTTGCTCTTCAGGAGCTGGGTTAAACGAGTGAGATGCATCATACTGAATGGCTCTTTGAAAGAACAGAAAATGCTGTTCAGTGTTTCTGGGCCTCCATTAGCTCACAGGGCTTTACAGATATTCCAAGAAAGTTCTGGCAATTTCCAGACTAACTAGAGCAAGCTTTGTTCTATGTGTCGTTGGTCTATAAATTTTTACCAGCCAGATGTTTTTCCCTTACTCAAAGAGATACTCTAAGTGTCTCTTATAACTTTGTCTCCTAGAGGAGGGCCCATGCTATTGAGAGACAATTCAGGTCAATGCAGAAAAGTCAGTGATCACAGCAGTCTCCACCTCCTTGATGCATGTCCTCCACATTTCATGCATGTCCAGCTAATATAGCCAGGGCCGTAACCCTAACTGCAGTGCATGCCTGGGCTGCAGAGGAGGGATACAAGACCTCTGAACTGTTATTCCTCAGCCTAACTTCTCAAGAGCCACCCCAGTCCTTCAAACAAGTTTAAACACACTTGCCAAATCAGGGATTTCTTCAGTTAGAAAGTCCACTGTTCTGTAGCTGAGGAAACAGGCTTAACCTGTGCCCTCATGTTCTTAGTCATGTGTGAACAGAACTATAAGTAGAATTGAGGTCCTTGATTCCAACCCCAGTGCTTTTTCTACTATACACAGTGTTTTCCAGAATTTAGTCTGCATGTTAAAACATGTGGTCATTGGGCCTCCCTGGTGGCGCAGCAGTTGAGCGGTGGGTTGCGAAGCTGCCCACAGCCTCTACAGCGCTGGTTCCATCCCCGGCTGCTCCCCGGCCACCAGAGGAGGGTCCCACATGGCGCGCAGACCTCTCCTGCCGCCCGTTGCTCCCCTCAGCAGTGTACTTCGTCACTCTGTCTGTTCTCTCCGCTCTGGCTCTAGTGAATTCTCTCACCCTCCTGCACCTCTGACTGTACCCAGTGCTTGTATAAATATATAAATAAATCTTGAAGAAAAAAAAAAAAAAAACTGGAGAAAAGTGTCCAAAGCCATAAAAAAAACAAAAACAAAAAAACATGCGGTCATTAACATGGTTAAAAAACAGATTTTGAGCCCTGGCCTGGTGTGTGAGCTTCAGGGAGGAGCCGGATCACCTGCGTTACGGAGCATCGAGGTGAGTCTGCCGCCCGTGCTCAGTCTTAGGGCTATTACAGCTCCCATGAGCAGAATACACTTCTCTGGGGGAGCCCATTGCCTTACAGACATACTACCCTTCCTCTTCTGACAGCTTCAGGCAAGAGCCTCTGGGCAGGCTCAGGCTTTGGGGGGAAAAGGACAATTTTCTCAGGATGAAGTCAGCGGCGCAGTGACAGTTGTGTTAATAGGTGCTGCTCTTGGAGCTCCTGGGCTTTCCAGAGTCTGTGTTAGATGATTCTGGAATAAAGATGGTGATGAATGTGGGGCCCAGCTGAGTGGGCTGGACTCAGCACAGGTGACTCTGCTCCTGCCAGGGGATCAGAGCAGGGGCTGAGCTGCTGCTGAAGTGTGTGCCTGTGCCTCAAGCCGAGAACACGGGGAGATGCCGTCATCGGTGCCATCTCAAGGGGGAAACAAGGGTAGCTGTGGCTGTGCTTGTGGGGAAATCTGTCCCTGTTTGTGCTAAACAGTAATAATAACCCAGAGCTTAGGAGGTGCTTTCATAGACATTATCCTCCTCCTTTCATCTGCAAACCCACACAAAGTTCCTGTGGTCCCAGTTATTAGTCGCACAGTCTTCTCGGGATTAGGTTTTCTTTTGCCTAAAACGTGGTTCTATTTCATATCTTTACAGATTTTGTTTTGTGTTTAAAACACATGCACGTGTGGTGCACTGTTGGAGAGTTCACAATAGGCACCCTCACTACCTCCTCATTCCTTGTATTTGCTCAGCTTTATAAATGACACTGGTTATTTGATTATGTCCCCCACTGGACGCAAGCCCCTCGTGGACCGAAGCCTCACATTCCTAGACAGGGCCCGTCTGAAGGTCAAATAACAAGTGGACGATGAATTAGCTGCTGAATGGTGTATGTCACAAAGGGGTGCTGGCTGCACAATTTGTTGGGTGGATGAACTAGGAGAAAGTTGAGTTCACCCTAATGCTGACCAGGTTTGGACAAGTCGCTCTACATCCTTGCGTCCCAGACTGTGTTCTTCATCCCCTCTCCTCCTCCGCCTCTTCTCCCCGCCTTTCCTCTTACTCCCTCCCTTTCTCCTGCCACCTCCTCTCCCTCCTCAGCGACCCAGTTAGGAGCCTACATGTGATCCTTGATGCTGTCTCTACTGCACCACCCAATCCAATCCATCCCCCAGCCGGTGGATTCTGACCTGCTTCCCATTAGTTCCCAGTGGCTTCTCTCCGCTTACACCCTTCGGCACTTCCCGGCGCCTCCTGCTAGGATTGCTGCCACCACAAGCCTCTCCCCCTCTTCAGATCATCTCCACTTCCTCTGTTCCAGCCTCCTCCACTCACTCCTGTACAGAAATGTTCCTCTAACATTAAAGTCCACAATGCAGAGCTTGACTCAATAGGTGAAGCTCTGAAACTCTGGATTCCCTAAGCTGATCCCTCTGAAAGGCCTCTCCCTAGCCCCCCTGCTCTAGCTACTCCACAGCTAATTTACCCAGTTGTCATGTCCTCCAGAAGACAGTCCCTGATCCAGTCCACTTAATCTCCCGCTGCGGACTCAGTTAAAATACCCCAAAAGAACCCTCCAAAGCCCTCCCATGGCCCTCGCCACCTTGGGATGCACCCACTGCCTCCTGTCCACCTTCCCGCCTCAACCCAAGAGGACAGAGACTGGAGCAATGGAAGTTCTTAACTCTGCTGGGTGAAGGACGGACTCAGAGGAACCCTCCCATCCTCCCCAGAAGATTGCGATCTTAAGACCAAAAACAATGTAAAACAGATAAAGTCAGGGAGTGGGAGTGTACCATGATTGTGTTTTGGATAGAATCGCTGGGATCGCTGAATCCGCAGCTATTGCTGCTGTGGGATTCCCAGCATCCTGCACACCATCCATTGCACCGGTCTTCTTGCATAAAGGCACGTGGCTGTCTCCCCCTAAAATATGATCCTCCACACCAGCATCTTGTTCCTACAACTTGTTGAAGTCTTTTTCCAGGGTCCCATTGGGAGCTGAGGATACAAGGGTGGGCGTCTGACAAAGGAGAAAGCTGCTCCTACACCCTTGACCCTGACTCTTGAGAATCAGAGGCCTTGCAAGGAGCCCAAAAGTTCCCAGCGTGATATGGAGTCACAGAAGCCTGACTTTGTTGTTGACCCATTCTTCTGATTCTGGGAATGTGTGCTCAGCACACTTACAGGGACCCTGTCCTCTCTTCTCCCAGTCTCTCCACTACCATCCCAAACCACAGTAGGCTCCCAAATTGCTTTAAAGCCCATCCAGTTCTGATGCCACTATTGGTTCAGCTCTAAAGCTATATTCCAGGGCATATGAGAAAAGGAACTAGATCAGGCCTCCCCTGGTGGCGCAGCAGTTGAGCGCTGGGCTGCGAAGCTGCCCACAGCCTCTGCAGTGCCAGTTGGATCCCCGGCCACCGGAGGAGGGTCCCACATGGCGCGCAGACCTCTCCTGCCACCTGGTGCTCCCCTCAGCAGTGTACTTCGGTCCATCTGCCTGCTCTGTTTCCCACTCTGGCTCTGGAGAATTCTCTCACCCTCCCGCGCTTCTGACTGTACCCAGTGCTTGTATAAATAAATAAATCTTTATGCAATTAAAAAAAAGAAAAAAGAAAAGGAACTGGATCAAGAGGCCGAGAGCACGGGTTTTAGTCCTTGCCCTTTCATCTGCTATTTGTCTAGCCAGTCACTTTGCTTCTCCAGGTATCTGTTTCCTCACTTGTACAATGTGTTTCTGTACCTTCCGTCCACCCACAGAGTGTGGTGGTTTCATGACTGGTGAATGTAAAAATGCACAGACAGTCCCTGATCCAGTCTACTTGAAGGCACAAAGGTGAGCTAAGTCGATGTGTTACTGACAAAGAGGGTCTGACCTAAGAAAAGAGAAAGCAGACATTTCACTTGACATTTCTTTCTACCCACCTGTGGTCGTTTCCATGCTGCCGCCCACACAGACAAACCGTCCAGAGTCTCAGTCTAATGCCATGCTACTTTTATAAGCTACAAGAAATGGGCAGTTGGTGGGAGACTGAGACTACAAGCAAGTAGGCCATTAGGGAGTTCTGCCTGTATATTTTCTGAGAGGCGAGGATAAGGTATAAATGAATTGTTAACAGCATGATGGCATTTTCTGGAAGGCCAACAGTCCAATCTGGGCCTCCAACACTGTCCAGAGTGGAAGAGAAATGATTACCATTTAGCATGAGAGAGGCAGAAATGTCTCAGCTCCTCTCAGCCCTGGTTGGCATTGTCTGAGCCCACCCTGCTCCCCTTTTAAAGGAGAGCCACTAGGTCTCTATTCACAACACCCACCCATGGTGAACTGCTTGGAACCAAGCTTGGTACTCTAGATTTGGTACCAAGCCTAGAGGATGGTAATATGACCTCGGCGAATCACAAAACTTGGAAAAATATAATTGGTCTTCCTTGAAGAAATTGGTTTTCAAACCTCTCCGTGGGACTTTATTCAAGTTTTTGAGGCAAGGAGACAAATAAGTGCATATTTTCTCCAGCACATGGGGTTACATTGGACTTGAATGCAGTCCTGCAACATCTGGACCCCATGACTCTTTATCTCCTGTGCTCATGCCCGGCTTCGGGAGAAGGCTGGCAATCGTAGGCCTCCATTGACATTGTAGTGACCTTCTCTGGGTATCTGCTCTTCAGCAATATGGCCACCACCTTCTACCCAGAATGCTTTCTCCTCTTCCCAGAGGGCATTCTCTTCCTCCCACAGGGACTTTTTATCTTCCCATAGGGCCTTCTCCTCCTCAAGAAGGGCTCTTTCCTCTACCCATAAGGCCTTTTCTTCCTCCCACAGGGCCTTATCCTCCTGAAGGAGGTTCCGGTCTCTTTCCCATAAAGCATTGTCCTCTTTCCAGAAGGCCTTATCCTCCTTCCAGAAGATGCGGTACTTTTTCCAAAACGTTTTCTCTTCTTCCCGGAATGATTTTTCCATTTCCCAGAAGGTTTTTTCCTCTTTCCAGAAAGTTTTCTCCTCTTCCCAGAAAGGTCTCTCTTCTTCCCAAAAGCCCAAAATCTGGCCCTGGAAAGCACGGATCTTGCCTCGGAAATTCCACATCTCTTCTCTGAAGTCTTCTATTTTCTCACGGAAAATTTTCATCTCTTCCCGAAAAGCCTTTTCTTCCTGAAGCTTATGGATTAATTTCTTCTGGCGGATATTGGGTGAGGAGCCCATCAGTGACCGGAAGCAAGCAAGTCCCATCCATTTGCTCAACTTGAAGGGAAGCACCTTCCTAGTCAGCCATGGGGTGGACATGATGGGGGACAGGGCTGTTAAGCGGGGCTGTTAATCAAGTCCAGGTCAGCTGGTCAAACCCTGAGGGGACACCAGAGAAAACATAAAGTTGACAGAAGCTGAATCAAAGAGCCTCAAAGAAAAAAGTTCCCAAATAGACAAAACTAAATTTTATTTTTTAGGAAAATAAACTTGGATGATAGATCTCTCTCTCTCTCTCTCTCTCTCTCTCTCTCTCTCTCTCTCTCTCTCACACACACACACAGAGCCCAGGTCTGTTTCAGTGACAGCGAACTACATTCAGTTCTCTAGACACAACCACAGCTTCTGACTCTGTGCCAAGGCACATGCTGTGTGCTCTCCTGAGAGAACATTTTCCTTCTCTTGTGGGCTTAAATTCCCTTTCCTCCTTTCTCCTCGGAAAGCTACCTGGAACCTGCCAAAGTTTGCCATCACCTCTTCACAGCTACCTGTCGGTCATGTCCCCACTCTTGCCTCATCATGTTTGATTGGGATCAGGTGTGGACATGTCATCCCTGTAACCCAGCATCGCATATCAGGTTGTGCAAATAAAGAGGTAATAGTAAAAATATTGATTAAATTAAATATCATTGGATTTTGGAACTTTGATTTTTCTATGTGGTATCATGGTTATTTGTTTTATTCCTACTAATTATGTAAATATTAGTGTCTCGAAGTGGGAGAAAGTGCCCCATTCTTCTCTGAAGTCTCCACATTTATCTCTTTCTGTCTGCTCTCCACAGAAATGGAGTGTCTGGGGCCTCCCCAGTGGCGCAACAGTTGAGCGCTGGGCTATGAAGCTGCCCGCAGCCTCTGCGGCGCCGGTTTGATCCCCGTCCACCGGTGAGGGTCCCACATGGCGTGCAGACCTCTCCTGCTACCTGCTGCTCCCCTCAGCAGTGTATTTCTTTGTCAGTGTGCCTGTTCTGCTCCCTGCTCTGTCTCTGGTGAATTCTCTCACCCTCCTGCGCTTCTGATTGTACCCAGTGCATGTATAAATAAATAAATTAATTTTTTAAAAAAAAGGAAATGGAGTGTCTGCATTCATGATGAGGTGAGAACCACGAAACTAAGTGGGGAAGTTAGTTTGGGGTAAGTGGTTCCCTCCACAGAGTCCTTGACCGTAGAGACCCGCAGAAAGCATTTGTTGAACTGAATTGGGTAATTCTTTATGAACAAAGCCTCATGGGCAATTAAATTTGCAAGGAAGCTCCCAGTAATAATCAGCTTTCTAATTATAATATCAGTAGTTACCATCTGGATATTTACTCAGCCATGTTATGCTGGACACGTTACCTGCATTATCTGTTTGATCCTTTCACCAGGAGATGGGTACCGGGATGAACTCTGTTTTATATCCCAGAGAACCAAGGCTTAAAAAGCTTAGTAGAGGAGTCAAGACTGTGGGCAGCTAGAGGTCATGGTCTGAAGAGCATTATGTGGTCAGGCAGCACTGCTTTGTCACCACGCTGCTGATAGTGTCACTGTGAAGTGGGGTGTGTATGAGTGTGAAAGAGAATGAACCTACTGATAACATTTGCAGCTTGACCACCAATTTTAAATGAAACAATCTCCTCATCCAACTCTACTATTGAAGGAAAATATAGACACCCCCACTGAAAAGGAAATTAGAAAACATCGAATGTTTTCATTAAATAACCATGTCTTTCAACAAACAATAACCTACAGTTGACAGAAGTGCCTTGTCGTGTGTGAGGCCTCTCTGTCCTGAATCTGCAGTAGAAACATTTATGTGGGTTTCTGCCTCTTCTAAAGTGTTTCTGGACCTAGCCCAGCACTGAAAGCAACTATTGTCCCACTTACACTACAGCTTTATTTCTGACTCTGTGAGCAATGTTTGAACTAATGCAAGAACTTGCTAAAGCCGTTTATAAATTTCTTTTTGCTATAGATACTGGTTGCACGTTGCACATTCACTCCTTATCACCAGTCGTTATTCTAGTCCTTGTTACAGCCTCACCCTTTCTGCAGTTGTTGCTAGTAGGCTTTCCTTTTAGGGCTGCTCTCCACAGAAACAGAGTGTCTGCATTCATGAGGAGGAAAGAACCATGAAACTAAGTGGGGAAGTTAGTTTGGGGTAAGTGGCTCCATCCATAGAGTCCTTGAGAACAGAAAATCTGTAAGTTGTAAGTAAGTGAGCACCAAGTGTCCACCACACACAATCTCCCCTCTGAATCTAACTTCCCACTTGGGGCACAATTGGAGAAATCTGCTGATGGCACCTACTGACAAGAGATAAATATAATTATAAATCAAGTATTCAGGGACTCCTCTTTGTTCTCTGAGGATCTGGGTGTCTACTTGTGAGACAGAAACTTCCTCAGCTTCTGGATCACCCTCATAGCAGCCACATCCATTTCAAATGCCCTACTCTACTCTGGGTTCCTAGGCCAGGTCACACCCTCCCCACATCAGCTCACTCCTGTATGATGACCTTGTTTCATCAGTGATCCCTCACATCTCCTTCCACATCTCCTTCCACATCTCTCTCTCTCTCTCTCTTGCTTATTCTGCCCTTATTACACAATCACATTCAAGAATCATCTTAAGAACAATGTGCCGGCCAACCACCCAACCAATCAGCCAGCCAGCCAGCCAGCCAGCCAGCCAGAAACAGTCTTCCAACTCACCTGTTTGCAAGCCCTCTCCTCCTTAAAAGCATAAAAGTTGTCACCATTTATGTGCTACTGAAATGTCTTTTGTCCTCCAATTGCTATGACTTGCTAGTTGTTTACTCCTGACCTCTTAGCAGAATGTGGCACAAGTCCTTTTTGATACTCCTCTTGACTTCTAAACACTAGTCATCCTGTCCTCCTCCTGCCTCCCTGGTTTTTCTCAGTCTCTTTGTGGCTCCTTTTCCAATTGGAGTGTATTTTCATCCCTATAAAGCAGATCCTTCCTCATAGGACTCTTATGAAGATGACATATGATAGTACAGTGCCTGCACATAAAAGTGCTCAATAAAATAGGAAATAAGAATAATTATAATTACTATTTTGTGTCTTTTTCTATCCTCTTAGTTTAGGGAGGCATGCCAGGACAATCATAATCTGCTCCTACAAAGCATTAAGTTTTATCCCTCAGCCATCCTCCCTGACACCTATGCTCTGGTCATATGGAATTCCCCAAACATGCCAAGGTGTCCTCCTTTCCATGCCATGTTGTTTTCTCTCCTTGGATAGCTATACCTAATCCCACTTCACGTCCGTCACCTAGCTAACCCCACAAAATTCAAATAAGGAGTCACCTCTTCTAGACAGACTCTCTTGACACTCCCTACCAAGTTCATATGCCCCTCCTGTCCTACCAGGAACATGTGGCCTCCCATCTCTATGTCCAGCACCTAGAATAGTGTCTGGTCTATGACAGGTGCAAAGTAATGTCAGTTGAGTGAATGGCAGTCTCTTGGGGTAGAATGTTAGAAAGAGTTACTCTTCAAGTTTTCTCATTACCACTTAAATTATTTTTGAAAAAGATACCAAATATGTATATGTGTATTTAGATATGAAATATAATATAAAACTGTAATATATATCTATGCAGGTATAAAAACAAGAATCAAAGAAACATACCAGTCTTCAATATTATATTTGAAGACTAGGAAAGCAGTTTTTAAGGGAAATGTAATACATAACTCTATGTTTAGAACAAATACTATCCAATCTAAAGCCAACAGTTACTTACTGCTTAGCTGTTCCCAACTGGACAAGTCCTGTGGCCCTCTGAGGGTAAGAGGTCATTGTCACCTCACGTCCCTAGTGATGTAGTTCACAGGCAACTCTAATACTGTTTCCAAGGACCCCTCTGTTGCCTCTCAGTCCTGAGTCACAGGATGGAGAGAGCCAAGATGGGGCCCCAAATTAGAGACTTTAAGGAGAAGGGGTCCACCTGAAAGACGCCTCCACCTTCCATCTTTGACTTCACCAATAGTGAGTGTGGCACTGTTGATGACTCGCAGATGATTGTTACCTCACATTCTACCTGGATCGTGTCCCAGAGCAGGCTTCTGGGAAATCATTCAGTGGGGGAGGGTAGATGTAGTGAGTCCTTTCTCTTAATGCCTTCAGGAGTCTCTCTTTTTGGATTTTGACAGTTAGACTATGATGTATCTAGTGTAGATTTCGTTGCATTTACACTTCTTGGAATTTATTGTTTTTTCTAGTTATGCAAATTTGAGACAATTTTTCCTCAAGATTGAGAAGTTTTGTGCCATTATTTCTTCAAATATTATTTCTTCCCCTTTCTTTCTCTCCTTTTTTCTAGGTCTCCTATTTTGTATGTATTAGTATTTGGTGGTGTCCCAGGATCTCTGAGACTCAGTTCATTTCTTTCTTTCTTTTTTTTTCTTCATTCTTTTTCTTCCTATTGCTTAGAGTGGATAATATCTAATGGCTTGTCCTTGAGGTCACTAATTGTTCTGCCAGTTCAAGTTTGCTGTTGAGCCTCTCTAGTTTTCATTTTTGACTCCAGAATTTCTATTTGGTCCTGTTAAAATATAATTTGTATTTCTTTTAAAAAACATTTTCCATTAGATGAGACATCGTTCTCATGCTTCCCTTTAATTTTTTACATGTGGTTTCTTTTGGTTCATTGACCATATTTATAACAACAGATTAAAAATTTTGATCTAGTCAGTTCAACATCTATACCTCCTCAGGGACGATTTCTAACCAAAAAGAGAATAACTCAGAATGATAATTTCTATTGACTGCTTCCCTCTCTCCCCATTTCTTTGTCTCAAATTTTGTTGAAATTAGACATTGAAATAATGTTATTTAAACATTAAACATTAAATAATAACATAATGTTATTTTAAGTAACATAATAATGAACAGTATAATTACATTACAAATAATATGATGTGGCAGCCCTGGAAATTAAACCCTCCCTCCTCAGGTTTGTTGGCGTATTTTTGTTGTTGTTTCTGTTTTTTTGTTTATTGACTTTCCTTGGCTATTTCTGCTAAGCCATCTATGGCCACTGAAGAGAGAGGCTTGAATAGATTAGTGGACACCTACTGATTAAGAGATTTCCTTGAACTGATAAGTCTCCCTTTGCTGAGTGTTTGTTGGGGTGCCAGGATATGCCTTCACTGCCCACACAATTCTGCCATATCCTTCACTTCCTGCTTGTCCAGGCCCTCGAGGTCAGCCTGAAGTGAGAGGTTATGATCTTCTCAGGGTTTTTCCAGGTATATGACCTTCTAGATCCCCCCAGATATGTCAGAGCTATTCTTGTTCTTCAGTTTTTCCTTTTTAGTTATTGGTCAGTCTTTTATTTGCCCCAACTGGTAACACTGCCTATGTAGCTATGATATTAAACAATTTAAATTTTTGTTGACAAATGCCATGAAGGTAACACTATTTGTACAAAGTAAGCACTGAGTTACATCAAATTAAGACAACTGTGAATGGAACTTTTCAATGAACTGCTAGAGAAGTCATATAGTAATTCTTTGGAGATAAGGGATTTGTGGGGCTCCAAACCCATATTTTGCCCCCTTGCTTAGCGATTTTTGGAGTCCCAGTTATTGGTTTTTAACTCTTCTTTTTTTTTTTTTTTAATATATGTACTGAAGACTACACTTAACCTGGATCTCACATACTTTTATATAACATTTTAATTATTCATTTGAAATACTTTTGATAGTCATTATAATTTCTTCTTTTTGCTGCGGGATATTTACAAGTATATTGTTTAATTTCCAAATATGTGGAGATTTTCCAATTGCCTTTTTATAACTAATTTTTAGTTCAGTTGCACTATGGTCTATCTCTGCACAAAGTATATGGTTTGTTTACATTGTATGATATTAGTAATTTCATTTTTTTAATGGTTGCTTATGGCTCTGCATATATTCAATTTTCCATATTCACTTGAAAATAGTTACTTTCTTCAGTTGTTTGAGCTACTGTCTTTATACAAGAATTTGGTTAAGTTTTTAACTATGTTGTTCAAACCTTCGATGTTCTCATTGATTTTTTTTTTTTTTTGTGGGACCCTTGCTGGCGGCCAGGGAATGAACCGGTGCTGCAGCAGTTGCGGGCAGCCTCGCAGCCCAGCGCTCAACCGCTGCGCCACCAGGGAAGGCCCTCTCAAGGATTTTTTATGGCTTGTTTTGTAAGTTCCTGAGGGACATATACTAGCAGATCTGTTTTTCCACCCAGTTCTGTCAGTTTTTGTTTTATATATTTTATATACATATATGTTTTATGTATATATTTATGTTTTATATATATTTGTTTTATATATTTATGTTGCTTCTTTCCTTAAGTTCTACTTTGATGTTAGTAAAATCACACCAACTTTCCTTAGTATTATTATGCTATATCTTTTCATTTTAATTCTGCTGTGCTTATATTTAAAGTGTGTGTGGCATACAGTTGAATTTTTGCTTTTCCACTCTGTCACATTTGTCATTTGATTGAAATATTACTTTCTATTTACATTTACTGTAATTACTAATAAATTTAGATGTGGGTCTGTTTTCTTACAATTTTTTCCAGGCTACCAGTTAAGTGTTACTTTTTCTTTTTTCCTTCAGATTAATAAAAAATTTTGTTATTCCATTTCCCTCTTTTATTTCTTTAATTATATATTCTTTTATATAATTATTATTATTAATTATTATAGGGACTAGAATATTCTGAATTTGTAGAGCCTAATATATCATATTTACTATTACCATTCCCAGATAACTCCATCTATACCTCTCCCACATTTTTTCATTTTGTCATGAATTTTAATTATATAGATATTTAAAATGCCAAAAGACATTGCTGTTACTATTTTGCACAGCACTGCTCATGTATAATTATGCTTATCCTCCTCCCCTTTGGTGCTCTTGATTTCTTCTTGCATTGCTATGCTTCTTATAAGATAATTTCCTTTATCCAAAAAAGTCATACCTTTTAGGTTTCCTACAGTATGGATCCTGTGATGAATTCGCTCAGTGTTTGTTTGTTGAAGATATCTTATTTTATTTTTTTAAAAGATATATTTATTTATACAAGAACCGGGGTACAGGCCAGATGCGCAGGAGGGTGAGAGGATTCTCCAGAGACAGAGCGGGGAACAGAACAGGCAGACTGACGAAATACACTGCTGAGGGGAGCAGCGGCTGAGATAGGAGAGGTCTGTGGTGCCATGTGGGATTCTCACCCACCAGAGGGGATCAAACCTGCACTGCAGAGGCTGTGGACAGCTTCACAGTGTGGCGCTCAACAACCTGTGCCACCAGGGAGTCTTCTTGTTGAAGATATTTTAATTTTGCCTTCATTTTTTATGCCAGCTAGCAGATTTTATTGGTAGAAGAGCATATTTCCACTGCAGTTTAAACAAATAGCTTTCATTTCCCTATTCTTTACAGTACTGAGAATTTCAAGGAAAATGGATTTCAAAAACATATATAAGAATTGAATTTTAATCTCTATAAATAATTTGATGACAACATTGACATTTGTCTTTGATGAATTTGTCATGACACTGGCTCTTAGTTTTTAATAGAAAGGAAGTCAGTATACTTTGGGGCTTCTCAACACTAAAATTCAAATAGCAGTGTCTTGATTTTCTTTCTCAGATATATGACCCTTTGTGATTTGCCTTCATTTCAAAGTATATTTCCACTGGTTAGAGAATTTTAGATTATTTGTTATTTCAGTTCATCTGAATTAACTTCAACTGTTTCTGTTGATAAGTTATCAATTTAGTTGTTTTGTTTTTAAGTAGTATGCTTTTTCTACATTAGCTGCTATAAAAGTCACATCTCTTACATGGAATTTTTTGTTTGTTTGTATGAGTCTCTTATTTATTTATTTATTTATTTACCTTTAACTGAGGTAATATTGGGGTACCCCCATCTAGTATTGCCAGCATAGTGTACCCACCACCAACTCACCCATATTCCACCACTGTAGACCATTGTGCTTTCTTTCCTCTTTGTTTTTCCCTTTACTACCTCCTTCCTACACATTGTTGCAAGTTTTGTGTTGATTCCTTTCTCAGAAGATTATCAGATCATTTGACTAGTATATTCACTTCGTTTTAAGTTCATTTTTTTTTTTTTTTGAAATAAACTTGCTCCATTCAGTCAGTCATTCAGTCAACATTTACTGAAAGTCTGCTCTTGGCACTTAGAATAAACAAAACAGTTGTTGAAGTTATTGTGGGGGGATGACATGATCCAATAGCAACAATTCTGGGTTATTTTAATAACCTCAATAGTAATAATAAATTTGCTAAATTATTTTATTTGGAATACCATGTGGGAATTGATAGTTTTTGCACATTACACCTTCATTGCTGATTCTTGTGATAGCCCTGTGGGAGTTACTATATAATATTCTTCACCTACAGATGAGAACATGGATTTACCAGTTTTGTTTTGCTCATGGTCCTCTAACTGACATCTTCCAACTTCGAGTCCATATTCTAGAGACTGAGGACATAATGCACAACAAGACATAGCTCTTGAAATTTTGTATAAGTAGTTCACATTTCCACAGAAAAGGTCAGACTTTTGGCTATACTCTAGTGACATTTATTGTATTAGGAGCTGAGATTCGATAGCATAAGTTTGACTTTCACCTGCAAATTCAAATAGCAGCATGACCAGATCTAAAGACAAATATTCTGGGGGCCTCCCCGGTGGCGTAGCGGTTGAACGCTGGGTTGCGAAGCTGCCCACAGCCTCTGCAGCGCCGGTTGGATCCCCAGCCACCGGGTGAGGGTCCCACATGGCGCGCAGACCTCTTCTGCTGCCTGCTGCTCCCCTCAGCAGTGTATTTCGTCAGTCTGCCTCTTCTGCTCTCCGCTCTGGCTCTGGTGAATTCTCTCACCCTCCCGCGCTTCTGACTGTACCCAGTGCTTGTATAAATGAATGAATGAATGAATAAATCTAAAAAAAAAAAAAGACAAATATTCTGTTGTTTACTTATGGCAATCTAAGTTTACAGTAACAAGCCAGACCTCTCCAGTGAAGACTGACTATAATTCATAAGCACTGGATTCGTCAGTGAAAGATAAGAATTGGTTTGTCAGAGGAAGGATCTTCCGGTTTGGGTGCTGTGTTAGTAATTTCTACCAGGGCTTCTCTTCACCCCTTCTCTACCTCTTAATTTTCCCCTTTGTGGCGCTTGCATGTCCTTCAGGTGCCTGGCCCCAGTGTCTAAAATGTGCATGCTCTGATTAGAAATTTGAAGTTTGGATGGAGTTGGTTTGGATGAGTTGGTAAAGTACTCTTACGTGAAACCTTGAACTCCTCAGTGATTCATAATTCATAAAGAGTCTGCTATTCCAAATAAACCTTACAGCTTTTGGAGGAAATTGGAAATGAGATTATCATTGCTGAATGTGAATGGAATGCTGAAAATAAAGTGATTCTCAAAAATCTGTGAGCTCACAGGATTGAAAAAGAGACGCTTTCCCTCTCCTTATAGGTTGTACTAAGTCAACAGTTACTGTTCACTCAAGATAGAAGGTTTAGCTTAAATTTTGTTCAATACCATTATTTAGAAAAATAGTATTGTCATTCTTGCCAACTTTCAAAGCAACCCATGCTTATTGGAAAAAAAAAAAACTAGAAAGTAGAGCAAGGATGGAAAAGAAAATTAAAATCATCCATAATCCCAATGCTCAGCCATGACCACTGTAAACAGTGAGGAGGTATAGGGTTGCAATCTTCTTCATGTGCTTAATGCCTGAGATATATTCTATACAATTGTTTTCATGCTGTGATACAGTTTTTTGAGTTGCTTTTCACATAATACTTGCCATTTCTTTAAATATTTCCGAGGACATGATTTTTAATAACTGTGATAATACACATTCTCCTATTTTTTTAGAAATTAATTTATTCCATCAGGAATATAGATTATTTTCCAGGAAGAGTAGGTCAAACTAGAAAATTGCTCACAGGTGAAGACAAAAACTTCATAATCCATCATCACTGCCCATCAGTTTCTGTACTGAAAGAAGAGAATTCTTATTTTCAATGATGTACACCTGAAGTTTATATAATAGTATAATGCAATGTTACTTCAATTAAAAAAAAAAAGAAAAATTTTTCTACCAGCACCAGTCATGTAAAGGGACCATCCTTGGGAATTTGATTGCATGAAGGCAGGGGAGATTTTTTTTGTTCCTGCTACATCACAGTGCCAATATTACAAAGAGTTTCTGAAATCAAGCAGAAAAATACCAGCAATGCAACAGATAGTCAAACAATGTGAATAAACTGATTGCAGACAAATAAAAATGGCTATTGAACGTATGGGGAAATTTTCCAACAATACTAATAACAAATGCAATTAAAATAAATAAATATTACATTTCTCACCTATCAGATTGGCAAAAGTCAAAATATAGTTATTGAAAGCAGAAAAATATCTCCTTGCATATACATATATATATCACAGAGATATGTGCATGTACATGTCGTGAATATGCACGCATGCATGCACGCGCACACACACACATCAACATATCTGTGGTTTCTGTTCTTTGGCTCTTCCCCATCATATGTTTTATTCCAGAAGAAGTTTTCCTCTGGCCTTTTGCTCCCATCTTCTCCTTCCAGTGGAAGGTTTTCATCTTCTGGGGATTATCTGTACCTCGTATTTTCCTCTGTGCATTCATTTGGGTCTCTTTTTTCTTGGTGGCTTTGACAGACTGGATTTTCCAAGGATAGCATTACCAAGATTCCCCCAACCCAAATGCTGTGCTTGCTCTGTAACTGTGCCTTTCTCCTATCAAGAGGCGGTATCTTCTTCCTTTACTTGTGGGTGGACCTTCAGATTGCTTCAGCCAACATGGCTCAGAGAAAATGATGCTCTGTGACTGCAAAGCAGGCATGTGCTGGGCCCTTGTTGCCAGCCAGCCAGTGACAGTGTGCATCTTCCCCAACTCCACGCTCAGCAAAGTTATGTCAGTAGCCTGAGAACAGCCACAGTGGGATTATTCATATCATAGAAGCAAGAAAATGCTATGAGTCTCCCTCTCTTTCTCCCTCTCCTCTCCTTCCTCTCCCCTCCCCCTATCTGGTTGGTAAACGTTTAGCAGAAAACTAGTGTTTCTAAGGCTAGATCATAAGAGGGGATACAGCTTCTTCTGTCTCTCCCTGT